TCTTCCGCTTTTCTCTCACTCCGTACTATCTTCCACAATTTTTTCATTTATTTATGTATTTTTCATTTTCGTTACTTTATTCTGTAATTTGATTCGTGTGGATCGTTGATCAGTTACTTCCAGAGCTTATTATGACATTTGTTTCTCATTTCTGGCTTAACCGATTCATGAATTAACCGCATTCGGTGTTTGCGTTTATTTGTTTTGTTTTGCAGGATTGACCATGGCGGACGAAGGTGTTGCCAACGGCGTCGACGACCAGTACGCCGAGGAATTCGCGGCGAAGATCGCGGCGTTGCAGCGCGAGCGAGACGAATTGCTGAGAGACAGCGTGGCGAGGAAGGAGGAGATCAAGAAGCTCACGGCGGAGCTCGACGGACTGAGGAGCGACGGCGCGGAGACGAGTGAGAAGATCGGGGAGATGCAGAGAGAAGTTGAGCAGTCGCGTGAGGCGGCGAAGGTTATCGCCGCGAGGGCGGCGGACCTGGAGACGGAGGTGACGAGGCTGCAGCACGACATGATATTGGAGATGAGTGCGGCGGAGGAGGCGAGGATGGACGCTGGGGAATTGAGGAATGTATTGGGAGAGAAGGAGTCTAGGGTTGAGTTTCTGGAGAAGGAAGTGGCAGGGTTGAAGAAGTTGAAGGCGGAGAGTGAGGTTAGGGTAAGGGATTTGGAGAGGAGAATTGGAGTTCTGGAGACTAAGGAGATTGAGGAGCGGAACAAGAGGATTAGGTTTGAGGAGGAGATGAGGGATAAGATTGATGAAAAGGACAGGGAAAATAAGGGGTTTAGGCAGAAGGTTGAGGAGTTGGAGAAGGTTGTTGCTGAGAAGATATCTGAGTTGGAGGATTCGGTTAAGCAGAAATTGAGGTTGGAGGTGGCACTTGCAGAATCTGAGGAGAAAGCAAATAGTTTGGAGTCGAGTATTCTTCAATTGCGCGAGGAAGCCAAGGAAGCCGAGAGGGTGATCATATCTTTGAATGAGAAGGCGGTTGAAACGATCGATAGAAGTGTAAATGGTGTACACGATGATGAAGGGAAGGGGTTGAAGTTGCAGTGGCCAGTGGTGGCAGTAGGGTCTACTGGAGCTGTTGTTGCAGCAGCTGCAGTAATCTATGTGTGCTACGGGAAACGGAGGTGATTTTCTGGGGATAGGGTGGTCAATGAAGAAGAGAGATTTGATCGGGAGGTTGTAGAGGTTAGATTCACCAGGTCTTTAGTCACATATATGCTGCAATTTTGTTACAAAATAATGCTTCTCTGGCTTTTGTTTTTAAGCCTGTGAATTTGTTATTCATCTCGAAGTTGACATGTTTGGTGTTGTTAGTTGTTTTTACTTGTTACGACGATCAAACCATTGTGTGTGTTGGATTTAATAAATAGGTTGTGAAACTGAGATTAGTTGTTTCTTTGTGTTTAGTTTTGACCCTTATTAGCTTATCAAGTATCACCTCTTGTTAAGTTGTTCAGTTTCTGAAGTTGATTTATGTGCATCTAGTCTTTAGTCTTTTCCATGGTGATTTTCACAGCATGTCTTTGAATGTAGAACCCAGCTGGTGAATTATATGATGTTTCAGGATTTGATGTTGGTGTCATTTTGATTCTATTTGATGGGTTTGGAGAAGCTGTTGCAATGTCCTCAGAGAGATTTTTTTTCTGGTCTTGCTCTATTCTTTTTCATTCTTGTATCCCATTTGTTGTGATTGTGTTCCGAAGAATTTGTTTTTGGTTGAAAGCTTTTTTCAGTTGTAGTTGTAGGTTGTGGTCGGTTGGGCGTATGAAAGCGTTGATTTGCATTGCCTTTCTACTTTCTAATGGTTTCTGTTTAGTTGACTAGTACTATTAATTAACCTTTTGCTTTAAGCTAAAGAGATACGAGTCTATTTCGTGAATTTGAACATAAATGTTAAGCATAAACTAGTGTAGACTGCTATGCTGACTTTAGATAGATACTATTACTAAGCTACTGTTTAACTGCTTAGGAGGCGAAATTATGTGAGTCTGTAACATGTTTCTGGTGGAATTTAACTTTCGTTTCTGCAGTGGAAGAGACAAATAAGGAAGCAGACACAGATTTTTGTGTTTTCTTAACTTCAATTTTCATCAATATCTGAATCCACTTGATGCGATCATGTGGTTTATGATCATCTAAGTAAGTTTGTTTATATAAATCCCCTTAATTTGATGGGCGAATTTTGTATTTATCTGTTTTAATACGATTCTGATGTGTAAAAATCTCGCATAAAATAGTCTATTTTTAACAATCACCGAAAATGCAATGTCTTGAGAAGGACTGGGCGCAGGTTGCCATCTGTTTGGAGTGCGTTTTGAGAGATAATAATGGAATAATTTATTTATTTATTTTGAAAAAATTCCAATGTTTTTAGATGAAATATTCTATTTGGTGGAGAATTTACAAATAATTTGAAATTTTAACATTTGTAAATTTTTTTAATGGTGTGTTTAGTAAATTTAAACATTTGTAAATTATATGTTAATTTATGTAGATTTAAATCAATATATAACATATTTTTATAATTATTCATCAATTTAAATTAATGAAATAAAATAATTTTTAAATTTTTAAAATTTAAGAATTTTAAATTTAACAGTTGAATTGTTAAAATTTGTTGTATAATATAAGTTATTGACTAAAGATTTATTTTTGAAATAAATAAAATTTTCATCTTTATATATAATTTCACGTATGTATAATTAATTATATAATTGATTATATATATTTATATATTTTTTAATTTTAAAAATAAATAAGTTAAAAATAAATATAAATAATAAATACAATGATTATAATAATAATATTTAATAAGTTGAAATTTATTGATATTTTTTATTTAAATCAATATAAATTAATTAAAAAATTATTTTTCTTCTATTTTTTTCAAACAATTTTAATTTTTATTATATTTTTTCGCTTCTTTTTATTTCTTTTCTCTGTTATTACCTTAATGATAGCCATTGTTTTATTTTATTTTTTGATTTTCAATTATATATTTTTGTTTTATTTTTAATCAGAAAATTGTCACTTGTTTTATCTATTTCTTGCTTTTAAATATTTGTACAATAAATGAACTATTGTTTTTAGTAGTAATGTATAAATATTTGAAAACATGAATTTGATTGAAAATAATGACATTTTTGTAACTAAAAATGTTTTAAAAAATAGAAAATGAATTTTTTTTATTTGTGGTTTCGTTTGTTGATTTTATTTTCTATTTATATAAGATTCAATTACATAATTCATAAAGATTAAAAAAATAATTAATTGAATTTATAACAATAAATGTGTCTTATTTATATATTTTCTTCTAAAATAACTCACCTTGGGTAATGCTGAATGTAGATGGTAGCGCTCTCAGAATCTTGGTCATTTTGGGTTTGGAGGTTTGGTGTGAGACTCGAAAGGTCAGTTTTTATTTAAATTTTTTGGAAGTCTTGGCATTTCGAACAACATTCATGCAGAGATTATAGCTCTTGTAAATGGGTTAGAGTTATGTTGGGAGAGGAGGTTCTCTCATGTCCAGTGTCAATTAGATTCTCTTTATCTGGTTCAGCTTGTTCAAGAGGGAACCAACCCTCAACATCGTTATACAAATGAGATTACACTCATCCGAGAGATATTGGGTAGATCATGGAGTTGCTCTCTCACTTATGTGTTTCGAGAAGAGAATTCTTGTGCGGACTGGTTGGCAAAGAAAGGTTCGATGTTAGACACTTCCATAGTGACCATTGAAGAAACAGAGATTGTTCTTCAATTGTTATTAGTTGCAGATGCATCAAGAACTCCCTATCCTCGCTTGTAGGGTTGGATTGTTTTGTTTAGGTTTCTTTTAGTTTGATTTTTCTTTATTTTCTTTCTTTACATTTGTCACAAAAAAAAAAATATTTTCTTCTAAAATTATTCTTATATTATTATTTTTAATTAATACTCATTTTTTCTAACCAATTAGTATGCATATCTTATATTATTTATCTCTTCTAATTAGTACTCACATTTATTTTAACCAATTAAAGTACATATTTTTTAAAGAATTTACAATTAAAACATTTTATCAAATTAAGATAATACACTTGAATCAAGTATATTTTAATCTTAAAATAATTAATATATAAAATAATATAAATTACATCTTATATAAAAAAACAATTATTTTGAAATTTTCTTATAACTAGGGAGGAAGGTATTGGAAAATGAAAATAGTGTCTCAATGTTGACCTTGATTGAATTTAAAGGTGAGGGTTTACTCGTTTAATAACTGGTTAAAGTTTAGTTGGTAGATAATGACTTGCTTAAATTTAAAATAAAATGGATTCATTTAAAGTGGTACTACTACAAGGTCATTTTCCCGAAAGAATAATAATAAATAAATAAATAAATAAAGACTAGGCACTGTAAGTTTATTGAGGTATTAAATTATAAAATCATTGTCTCTATTTTTTGGCTTTGGATTCGTAAGACTGTGTGGTAAGCAGCAGCTAGCGTTATAGCTACGCAGTATCGGCCTTTAATTTTTGGGCCCAACACCACCCAAATCTTATCACTTCCACTGCATTTTGAACCCTCAAAATTCTGAAAAACAAAATTTTTGTTTTAATTAAGAAGAGGATTCAGAGAGAGAATTCTTTATGCGTTTCACACATAACTTTTCCCTGGATCGGTGTGAAAGTCTGGTAGAGAACTCTTGCTTTTAATTTCATTTTGATTTTTTTTTAAAGAATTAAGTAATTCTTTTATACATAAAATTATGATTAACTTTATGAGAGGTTAAATATTTAATTTTATTGATAAACTACATTTTAAATTTGTATAAGTACTTTTTTTTTAACAATATTTTTTTTATGTCCATCTTTCACTCATTCAAACTATCAGAAAGTGTTTTCTCACTTTTTCCCCCTTAAATAACACCTCTTTTTACTATTTCTTTCTGTTTTTTTTTTTTTATTGTCTAAAAAAGTGTTATTGACTGTAACAAATACTATCTTTTGGTTTGATAATTTACTAATTTCCATTCTATAGGGTCTAACATAGATGATTACCGCACACATGGAACTTTTCGACTTTTTGACAAATTTCGTGTAATTTAGTTTTCAAAATTATAAAATACAATGCAAGTTTTGAAAAAATTAACATGGGATTAACCATACTCGTCATATATAACTTGCAAAAAGTTTTTTATTTTTTATTTTATATTTTAAAGTAGTACATTGATATACAATTTCACGGATCACATTAATCTTTATGAATCAAAATGACTTGAAAATATAATAATAAATTATTATATACTAAAGTAACTGTACAGTTCATGACTAAAGTATACTCAAAAGTTGATATAATAACATTTGTATATACACATCATGTGTTATTTATTTTTAATTTTCAAATGTAACAACTATAAACAAAAACTCATATGATCAATCAAAATGATAATTGATGTGTACATGCAATAATCATGTTTAATGTTAGGAAAATGATAATTGATGTAAAAAGTATCGAAGTATTTATGTAACTAATTTTAGGGGTAAATATATTTTAACAACCATTACTATGAACCTATTGAAGATTCTTTTTTCAAACCTTCTAGTGTTTTAGATAAATCTTGAGTGGCTAACTCATTTGCATTAGGAATTGATGTAGCGGTGTCAAATTCATGTAATCTTTTTGAATTGTTTATTAAAATATTTTATTTAGTTAATTGTTTCCTGCCTAATCTTAAATTCTTGAATTGACTACTCACAATGGAATTAATCTAGTCACCCATGCTTAATAAGATTTCTCCATCGAAGTTAGTTCTCATTGTGCAGTCTTTAAATACCATGTCCTTAAACAAGAGGTTCATAAAAATTGTGGGTCCCATTTGCATGTATTTTTATGAAATAAAGATAAAATATAAGAATGTAGGATTATTTGTAAAACTCTTTAGTAAATTTTTTAGAGTTGCTAGATTTAAAGAGAAATTGCTTAAATTATTAAAAATAAATAAATATAAGTGATTTGAAACTATAGGACTCATTTAGCAACCCAAAAAGCAAAAAAAAAAAAAAACTTAAAAATCCAAATTTGTGAATGAAAAAAAACTTGATTAAAGAACAAATGTGATCGGTCAAAACCCTATGATAAATTAATTATCAATAAAGTTAATAAATTACATTAGTATAATATTATATCATATCATATTTAAAAAAAATAACTTAAATTTCATCCAAACATGGGACACGTTAATTCATCATTTGAAAGTATGATTTCAAGATAATGGATTTTGATTTTGTAGTTTATTTGTTTAGCTCTTGGCCTTATATGAGAAAAGGTATTTCTGTTGTCTATGTCTTTAACTCTATATATAAGCTACAATAGTAACAATACTGTAGGAAGAAGAATGAAGGGACACATGAACGTACTTCATATATATATATATTATAACGTGATGACTGTAAAATAAATTTTGATAATGAATTATAGTTCATGGAAGTTTACAACATGCCACAACCGAAATGTACCATTCATTTTGTCGTTTTTGAAATGAAACAATGTAAGCACTCTGAAACGAAGCAGGAAAGCACACCAGAACATGCCCCTTAATCTGAGGCACAAAGAATGCACGCAGAACAGATTTTGTCTCCTTTGAAAGGGCACTGTCACAGCCTATGATTGTGCAATGCCTCAATACCTTAGCTCAAGGTTCAACCTTCTAAGATGCTTTGCCCTGTAATATTGAAAAATTAAATAACTAAGCAATTCACAACTTAGAAAATGGCCTAATGAAAAGTTAAATTTGACAAATGATAGGATACTTAAATTTGGCTATTGACAATCTTCAGGTCAATAAGACTCAGTTTTATTATCATCTCAGCATTTAGAAATTTGAATGGACTTAGGCTTTTGAATCTTGATGAGCATCCATTATAAATATATATCAATATCAATATCCCTTGAAATTATTGAACTCAATGTACCATATCTGTAGATTTCTGCAAAATGGCATTTCAAGGACTATTGAATTTGCCTGAGGTGACTACAGAGTTCAGAACCTCTAAAAGGGTCAACAGATTACACAGCCAAAGACTTGGCCAAATAAAAATAAAATAAAACAATATATATATATATATATATTACAACACAACGTTATAATGGAAAGACAATTCCCACATCCCTTAATCGTTTTTCCTTAAATTGGGTGTAGGTTAGGTCACTACACACACACACAAATACACACACACACACACACACACATATATATATATATATATATATATATACATATATACATATATAGCAATATACTATATAGAAAGGCAAATACAGTTGTGACCCTTTGAACATTCCTAGCATCATGTCAACTGCATCACACCTTTAGTAAAAAGTATAAGCTGATAACCAGCAATGCTAACTATATCGACATAAAATGCATGCTAAATTGAATTCATCATATGACATTCATAAGTAAACATGAAGAAATTTCTGGCAAATAATTTTCAATTCTTTTTGACTTGTTTAGAAAAGGCACTTTTCATTGTTAATTTGTAGGTAATTGATACACAGTTGGACCCCTTCATCTGTTCAACACTGACATAATGAGGCTGCTTAGCCTCTAGTCTTTATTTACGTGACAGCTTATCATTCTCCTTGCAAGGGCCAAATAATTTGAAAAACTACAAATTGAAGTCATATTTTGAAGCTAGTGTAACCAAAACAACTTTAACCCTTATTTTATTGGTTGTATCCTGTTTGAAAGGGAGTTGTAGATTTGTGTTTGAGAAAGCACAACTGCACAACGGCTCTAAAGCATTGTTGTTTCATAACCTACCTTTTTCTCGTTTCAAACTTAACAAGACAAAAAGCAATACAAAGATTCTGATGCCAACTAGACTATTCTCTTTAGTGGGCAAGGCAAAAAAGGAAAATATATAATATAGCCTATATGTCACCAAGTCAAACCGTCAAATATCCCATTATGTTAATATTGTTATAATAGTGACACTTAATACTACTTCAGACCCAATTAATAAGTATGTTATCATAATTGAATGCTTCTCCAATAAGCTAAAAAGTAGTACTAAGAAAATAAGTCACTTTCATGTCCTGAATTAAGTTTCATATTAGCCCTTTTAAATATCTAATTGTAAGTTATTTAGCATTTATTATTGGCCAAAGAAGACCCAAAAAAAATCCTTGGTTGAGGTTTACTCACCTTAAATTATCTACTTCCACCCATCACAATCTCCAACAGTCCACAGCAACTCTTCCAAGAGGAGTTTTCACTTTGAGTCACAGGGCCAATGGTCTATCACACCAAAGAGAATAAGATCATCACATACATAAATGCATATAAAATAACAAAGACAACCTTATAAGTTATAACCAACACTTGCTTAGCACAAACTAAAATTTCTACATGAAACTATCACCAAGTGTGAATCACCCCACCTGATTTTCAGTGCTTTCAGCCTCAGGAACACTAGGTGATGGTTGAGAAGTTTCCTTGGCACTTTCATTTGATGACTCTTCTTGACCACCTGATGGTTCCCCAACTTTCTCATCCAAAGTTGGTTCCAAATCCAATGATTTTTCAATTATGGTTGGAGCAACAATCTTGTCACTTTCATCTGATTTTGCAACACTTGTCTCCACAGTTTCCTCTGAAACCACATCACCAGTTGGAGGCAAAGAAGAATCACCAAAGACTTCACTTGTTTCCTCTTGTAACTTAACTGTCACAACAGAAGACAAAACATTCTCCTCCTCTTCACCAACCTCCATGTCCTTAACAACTGTTTCAACCACTTCAGTTTCTCCTAATCCCTCATTTCCTGAAACTGAAGAGGCCTCATTATTATTATTATTGTCCTCTGAAGGAGCCAAATCTTTTTCTTTTTCCTCTTGTTGTTCCTTCAATTCCAACTCCACAGTATCTGATTCCAATTCCTTTGAACTCTCATCTTGAGCATCCTTTACAGCATCAGACTCAAAAGTCTCAGCAACTGATTCAGTAACATCTTCTTGTGTCTCTTCAACTTTGCTTGACTCAACCAACTCCTCACTTGGTGTTTGTGGTGTCTCTTCATCAACTTCCACAGCCACCTCCTTATCTTGGCTCAAAGATTGTGTCTCTTCGTTCTGAGTGTTTTGCAATGTTCCATTGAGAGATCCTTCCATTTTCTTGCTGTGGTTTGATGAAACAGCTGCCCCTGCAGGTAAATAGAATGAGCCTTGGAAAATGGATGCCAAAGAACCTTTTTCTTGCTTAAGGGGTATAAGACCACCAGAGTGGCCTAATAATTAAACCAGTTTGGTCTAATTGTTTATGAATGAAAAACAAGAAAAGAAAAAGGTGATTAAGTGGTTTAAAACATAGGATACCAAACAAGGAAGAGGTGGACATAAAGAAAAAAGGGGAGACAAGTGGGTAGGCATGGTAGATGGAGAGAGCAATAAAGAGTGTTTGTGTTTGCCTTGGAGTTGATCAGCAGGAGAAGAATGGTGGTTGAGAATGGTCAAAGTTTTCAGTTTCTTTGCTTTTCTTCTTGAAGCAGAAGGCATGGACGCTGACTGGTTGTTCCAAAGAATGGTGGATAAAGATTGGTGTTGGTGTTGGTGTCAATGCCAACAATGTTTCTGTGAAGGGAACTCAAGTGATGATGAAACGTTACGGCTACAATCATTCATTGCCATTTGCCACACCAAAAAGAAAGTGTTTCAACAGTCCCACATCGACTGCAACTATATGTGTACTATTATTGCTTAAACTTGGTACAGTTTATTAGTTTATTCATCTAACTTGAAAATTCCTTCTTGTTTTAATTTTTTTTTGTTATAATTTTCCAAAATTTATCAGAAGACCTAGGTTTTAAAATAACCAAGAAACTGTAACTTAGAAGGGTTTTTTTAATGCAAAGAGCATAAAAGAAATTAATAAAAGTACATTAATAATGTGAAAAAGTATAATGTCATCCATCGTAGAATGTACCATATATGATAGAATTATAATAAATTACTTTAAAAATTATATCAAGATTTAAGAGTTAGAAATTGAAATAAGCTAATCAAGGATTTGTTTAGATAGATTTCTTCTATTTAAAAAATTTAAGAGGACATACTTTTTTAAATAATGGCTCGACGACTTTGTAAAAGTTAAAGTCAGTTTGTTAATCTACTTAAATGTTATTCGTACCGATAAAAAAAATGGGTATATTAAAATTTTTTGGATGACTATGATGTATTCTTAAATATGTTAATCAACTAATATTTAAAGAAAAAATATGTAAAACAAATTATAAATTATAAAAATTAAAATCATTACTACTTAAGACGTGAGACAAGAAAAAATCAGGTTTGTTAGATGTTAGAAAAGTCAAATCTAACTTGTTTATATAATAATATAAACTTAATATGTTCTTCTTGATAACTTATTTAAATGTCCTTTATTTCATTAAAAAGGTTTAATTTGACTTGACATTTTGAGTTATAGAATCTCATAAGATGACTTGAATTTTAATTACACCCTTGTTAAAGGTAAATTTTTAATTAGGTGATAATAGTGATAAAAATTATATTAACAATAAATTAAAGTTAAACTCACATACAAATCATACGATTAATTTTGTGGAGAAACGGTTAATAATTTCTTGACAAAATTTGCTATCTCTGTTTCATACTTTGATTTTGTTGGTGTTATTAGATTTTGGACTATTAGTAACACAACTACGATAACTATATTGTGAAGTCCAGAAATATATAATCAAAATTAACAAGTTGAAGATGGAGAGAAGGGCCATGTGGAATTGTTGGTCTTTATGGGCCACTTGTTAAAGGCCTCATATATACTTATATATATATATATATATATATATATATATGGGGAATGCTAATATATTCTTACCTATTTTTTAGTGAGAGTATGTTAGCAACGTACACTAAAATTTTAGAACAAAAAAGTTATTCATTTCGTTTGATTTGGTTAATTTGTATAAAGGATATTATAGTAGTTTAATTTAATTTTAAATGAAAATTAAATATTTTCTCTCTTTTATTAATTTCTTTCACTAAGTCATTTTTCTCTCCTATTAAATTTCTTTTCCAACCCATTTCTCTTTCCTATTAAATTCTTTCTCTAACTTATTTATTTATTTCTCTCCTATTAAATTCCTTCTTTAACTCATTTCTTTAGCACAATTAAATATTAATAATTTTTATTTTTTGTGAGTTTCATTCCATTTTTTTTTCAAATTAAAAATAAATAAAAAGAGTAAATTTGAATGAAAAAGTTAAAAATATCTTAAATAAATTTGTATTATTAATTTTTGTTTTTAAAACAACTTGTTAATTTATTATTATTATTTTTAATTTTATTTTGTGTCTTGATTAATATATTTTGGATTATTGACATAAAATTTTATGTTTTTATTTCTATTATATTTCATTTTTGTTGAAGGGAATTTGTTATTGAAAAATATCTTCTTTTTTTAATCATTTTTTTACTCAATTAAACAACATAATTATTTTTCTTTTTCTTTTTTCATATCAAATAATATAACCTTTACTCTCTTTCACTCTTTTCTCTTTTTTTCTTTCTATTTTCCTTCCTCAACCAAAGAAAGAAGTAAATATAAGAAAATCATTTTTGTTCACTACAAAAGATCTAAAGATTCTTCTATGTAGAGAGTAATTTTAAATAGATTTTTCTGTGAATATTTCTAAGCAAAAAAAAAAGTACAATGAAATTATTAAATTTTTATAAAATAAAATTAAACTTATACATAAATTAAAAATAAAACTTTGAAAACATTAATATAAAAGATCTTTTACAAATTAGTTCATATATAAATTAATTTAAATTTTTTTAAAAGTATGTCTAAAAAAATTTATCCGAATAAACTTCTAAACTAACATTATAGATATAAAAATTGGAGTAAAACTCTGAGACTCATGTATCATTGGGAACATGAGAGAATTTCTTTTATATAATAATTTTATCCCATTTTCCAAGTATTATTAGATATGGAAAAATGAGAGTGAACAGTGAAGTAGTTATTGTGCAGTGCTAGCTGTCAAATAGTGAGACAGAGGATATTAAGTTGGTTCAGAGCTGACACAAGAAAAACTAATGACTCTGTCACATAGCCCTGCAGTGCATTGCATTTAGTCAAAACTTCTCAGACCCACATGTATTCCAAAGTGCAAACACCAACAAAGTAGTAATAATATCAATATCACTTGCTTCACTTTCAGATTTACATTTACATCACCATCCCAAACTCTAAAAAAAAAAAAAAAAAAAACTAGTTGATTCAAATTGTTCTTTTCACTAAAGACATTACACTAAAAGAAAATAGGATAAATTGTTTTAACTTCTCTTATATTTTTTTTATTTTTTATACATAAAATTATGTTTAGTTTTAAATATATATTTTTTTCCTTCAGTTTTATAAATGTTTATATTTAAATATAATTTATCTTGATTACAGATTTTGTCTCATTATTCAAATATCCCTCTATTTGATACACATCACACACAAAAAAATATATTTTTACGGATATATTACAATTAATTACCTTTTTATAGTGAAAATTTGAAAATTATTAAATTGTTAGATGACAAAAGTTTTAGAATAACATTAGACTGTCATAAAACATTAAAATAAAATAAAATACTATTTCCTATGCAAAATAAGTTTTTCTTTAATTTATTTCAATAAAAAATAACAAAACTTAATCAAATAAATTATTAATGGAATAAAACTATTTTTAAATCAATTTTAAAAGGTAAACAATAAAAAATCATACATATTCATGTGATTTAATTTTTAGTGCATGATGAACACTGATATATAAAAGATATATTTGTTCTATCATATTTTTTTATCAATAAATATTAATTGTTAGTTGTGAAGGATATATTTAATTGTTGATGGTGGTGATAGGTGAGGAAGCTAGAGACTTCATTTATAAATTATTAACATGTTATCTTTTGAAATACAAATCCATCTTAGTTATTTAAATTGGTTTCCTTTCAGTCCTCTATGTTCACGTTTGGTATGTTTTCATACCAAGTGTGTGAAAAACCATGTGAGTTTGTCTTATTATAGATAGTCTCCTTGTAATTTATATCTTTTGTTTATTATAAACAGTATCCATGTATTAATTATATTGAGTTATTTACTTTGGAAATGGTAACCCAAATAACTCTTCTGGATTTGTGACTTCAATGGATATGTTTCCCATAACATTCTGTTTATCTAGTACTATATTCAAACATGGTGCTCATGTGCATCTTTTTATATTTTTCTCTCAATTTTCTTTGAAATCGAATCCAAAACTTGATCCATATCCAAGTAAGTAACATGTGCAAACGCCTCAGTTCAAGGACACCAAAGGATGGAAACAAAATAATACTATTAGTTATTGTCTTATTATTGGTAATGTCAAATTGTTCCAAGAATACAATTTGTTATATAGTAAAACAAATTCATTTTGTGGTTGTTTCATTTGATGTGGACTTGGGAGAAATTCTGATGGGCATTCCAAGGGAAGGGAAAGGTAGGGGATCCATTGCAATTGGCTCATCTGGATGGAGTAAGAACCACTCATATTGGGTCACAACATAATGCACAAAAATGAGGATATTTAACTTAGCTAATTGGTAACCTGCACACACTCTTGGTCCTCCTCCAAATGGAACAAATGCATATTGGGGTATTCCCTCCTCAAACCTACCAGGGTTGAAACTCATTGGATCCTTAAAATAATCTTCATTGTAATGTGTTCCATATGTTGTCCATAGCACCTGAGAAGAGCCAGAAAACCCCTTTATTTCCAATTAATTATATGATTGAATTCACAAATTGACAAATTTGGAGAAATGCATGGATAATTCAATATGTATAAGAAAGAAAGAAGAAAGTAGTATTCACCTTCCATCCTCTTGGTATAATGAATCCTTCATATTCAATATCAGTAATAGCCTTCCTGAAAGAACCAAAGATAGGAGGGAACAATCTCATGCTTTCTCTAGCAACTTGCCAGGTATACTTCATCTTCTTTATGTCCTCCAATGTTACATTCTCATCCCATCTTTTGTTGCTAATTATAGCAACATGTTCTGCATAAAATTAAGTACTCTCAATTATCAAGTATCAACTCTGAATACTTTTGGATAAATAAAGAGTATAATTTCCATGCAAGTCAAGCTATGAAAATTTACAACCTTAACCAATCAGAAATCATTGATGATATGATTTTTAAGATAGTTACAGTAAAAGTTAACAAATTCATGTTGTGAGCGGGATTGTGTACAAATCCTACACATTACTAACTCTAATTTAAATACGATGATAGAGTTGGATTACCTTGAAGAAGTTTTCCATAGCAATCAGGGTGCTGAGCCAACATCTTGAATGTCATAGCAACAGCAAAAGAAGTAGTATCATGAGCTGCAAAAACCAGCAGCACCACATTGTCTATGACCTCTTTTTCACTGATCTCCCCTTGGATCATCCCATACACCAACTTTGACAGCAGCATTCCATCTTGTTCTCTTTGCAAGCTTCCTTCCATTTCCCTTCTCTTCTCTTTCACCACTTTGACCAACATCTTCTCTATCTCCACCCTGGCCTTCTTTGCTCTCCAAAACTTAGAACCTGGAAGCATAACTGCTGGAGAGAACACTCCTTCCAATACCTTCTCAAAGATATCTAGCATACCTGGCTCCACTTTGATCCCCAACAAACACTCAAACACTATGCTAAAACTGAGGACTTTTGTTGAACGGTAAAGACTAATCTCTTCTTGGCCCTTCCACTTTGTAGCCAAATGAAGCTTAACAGAATTGCACAGTTTTGGAACTAGTAGCTCAAGACCAGCATAACCAAGACTTGTGCCAATAACACCACGTAGGAATCGGTGCCTTTCACCATCTTTCTCCATGATTGAGTCGCTTCCCATGAGCTGAACCGAGGAAGAAGGCCAAGAACTTTTCACCAACTTGAACTCATTAGACAACAAGAATTTATTTGCCTCAGCTCCATTCACGACCACTGTTGGAGACCCCATGATCCTTGTTTTGAAGATGTTCCCATGTTTCAGAATCCTGGGATGAACAAACACTTCAAACAATTGGTTTCTCCTATGAGCATTGAAGAATTCCATTGTCTCCCCTATGAATGGAAGACCCATTTCCCCTGGTGGCACCTTTCTTTTGTCTTTGTAGCATTGCTTGTGCCTCAAGAAATTGCAAGAGACTAGAAAAAGTAGCAGGGGAAACAAACCCCAAGAAATAAAATAGATAATGTCCCCAAACATTGGAGAACTTGTAAGGATCAAGGACTTTGAAAATTTTGAACTCATATCTAGGAATTGTTTTAAGACTCAAATACTTCTTGTCTGGTTCACTACATTTTTATAGATCAATGAAGTCAAACCAGAATGAATTTTATGATAATTATAATGTTGATCATCCTTAAAGTCAATTCCTTCCTAATAAATTTCTAGTTTGCAAGCCTGTAATCTGGTCAAATTAACAAATTAAAGAAGAAAAAATATATACTATAGCATCAAAGCTTGTGAAAAGAATAATACTTCTATGTAGTATTCCTTACGATAATAGATTCATTGTCCCAAAAGAATGACACGTAATCATCATTGCATACCTGAGAAACTCATGATAGAAAATGAAAATGATTTTTGTCATCATGGTCAACGCTAGAAGCTTTTTAGTTACCTAAGAATCCCTAAAAATCTGGTGAAGTCTCGTTAGTTTGTGTGACTTTCGATCGTGTTTCAGTCATCAATTCATGATTGCTCATTATTGCAGCAATGTAAATACTGATTGGTGCAGAATCACCGTCTATGAATCTCCAACTTTGCAATATCTTTTTAAAGTAATTTGAAAGGTAGGCTGATCATGTGAGAGATAATGTTGTTTGCAACCGCCTAAGCATAGTGGTTGAATCATTTTAATCAAGTTATTAGAGCATGACGATAAATTAAATCAGCAACATTTTCACGTTAGAAATATCGATTCTGCGAATTTATTGCTTGTTGGGGGATATTTGAAGCTGTGAATGAATTGTATACAGTTGTTCTTTTACAAGAAATATTATATTTGTATTTGCTCAATGTCACCAAATTTTGACTCATTGTTACATGAGATAATAGATTTAACACTTTAAGTTATTTTAAGGTAAGGTGTCGAGAGATTCTGAAAATTAAAAATTAAAGAACTCTTAAAAAGTCTTTAAGTGTTTTATAGAATTTTTCTGAATAGAGATCTAATTTGATCTTAAAGAGAGAAGTATATAAGATGGGCTTCATAAACTTATTCTCAGAGAACCTAGAGAGATAAGCTTAAAGATAAAGACTCTTATTTATGTACTCTCCTTCTTCCTCTTTTCTTGAAGTTGTGATCCTAGTAGTTGGTTACTAATTTGAGGCATTTGGACTGAAAATTGAGAAGTAGTAGCGGCTGGTGCAAAGCTTCGACGTTAGCTCGGAATCATCTTCCTCTCCTCTCTTCTTGTTTAGAGTTGAGGTAAGGGAAGCTAAAACTCATATCTTTGATAGATTGATGAGTTGTATATACTTTGAATTCATTGAATGCATGATTATATTGTATGGATGATTTCTAAGGTGATTTTTGTTTTTTTATTGAAATTTGGATTTTGAGTTCATGGAAGTGAATTTTGAGTGAATGATCAAAACTATTGTTGCATGTTAGATTTATGGTGCAAAATGAGTTGTGGATGATGAATATATGTTGTTGGATGCTTTGTATGTTGGTGGTTTTTGTTTTTTTAGGTGGTTTGAGTCAAATTCATGAGTCTACAAGTGCATAACTCATTGTCATACTAGGCGTGCCTTCAAGGCATCAACCATGATTTAATCAAGAACACTCTATTTTACTCACGTTGGACACAGTATTGGTGGTGCAGATGTGAAGAGAGAGAATTACATCGATTTAATTAGCGTCAGACATGGTTTGAATGGCATCTAACATGAGGTGAAATAATTGATTATATCTGGATTGACACCAAGTGCCAAAGGAGTGGCATCGAGTGTGAGGAGAGAGAATCCTTTTAGATTAGTGTGAGATTGTGCATGAGATTTTGTCATACTAGGCATGAGGTCCAAAGATTTCCCTATCTCAATCATGCTGGATGCAGGTTGAGTAGCATTAGGCATACATGAGGTAGAGAGCTTCCTGCCTCAATGGTGTTGAGTGCAGGATGTATAGCATTAGACGCAAGTTGTCTTGAAAATACTTATTGCTTTTGTAATTAAATGGTGAATATGAATAGATGAAATTTGTCTTTTACATGTTGTACATGGATTGATGATGTTGTTATGTGTATATTAATCTATGATGATATATGCAGATGTTTGTATAGTTGATTGATTAAGGATGATATATCTAGGATTGACGAGACTTTTTTAATTATAAGAATTAAAAAATAAAGTTTATATATAACTTATTTTTTATATGTAATTTAAGTTCATCATTACAACTTTTTCCATTTTGCATTGAAACAATATTTACAATAATAATTTAACATTTAATCACCTTAGCGTGGTTTTCAATAATACCATATTTCTTTTGCGGATATATTTTTTATCATTTGGTGAAGTATTATTAAACATGTTTTTATTATTAGAAGTTTCATCAATATGTTTTTAATGTATGAGTAAGCTATACAGAACATTATATGTTTTAATATCTATATTTTGAATATATATATATAACTATTGATAATATTAAATTTACATACATTTTATTTGAGGGTGTAATGAATATGTTTTATAATTAAATCAAGGAAATGATCAACAAAATTGTGAGATAAAATAACAACTTTAAATTTTAAACATATAGTAATGTTTTAACAGCAAACAATTTGATAAATAAATCACAAATATTAAATTAAAAAGTTACAAAAGAATTTTAATATGCAATTAATCATGAAAGAATTAAATAAGAAAAAGACGGGATTAGTGTAATTGACATTTTGCATGATATCTATGCTAGGAGTTCTACATAATTTTTTTATTAAATTTAAATCAGTCTAAGACTTTTGGAGTTTTAAGTATTTGATTTAATAATGATTAAGTAATAAATAAAAATAACTAAAATGAAAACCCTTAAAAAAACGGAAATAAAATAATATGGTAATATTCTATAGTAACATACTTATATATATATAACTATTAATAATATTAATCTTACGTTGATTTTATTTGAGTGTAATGAATAAGTTTTAAAGTTTAATTAGAGAAAATAATCAATAAAATTGTGAGAGTTAAAATGACAACTTTAAAGATATAGCAATGATTTAATAGCAATTAATTTGACGAATAAATCACTAATATTAAATTAAAAAGGTTACTACCGAGTTTTAATATGCAATTGATCATTATAGAAGCAAGAATTAACTTAAAAAAAATGATAATTATCTAGAGATTGGTGTGATGGTTTACTTATTGTAATACCATTATAATGTATATTAGGTTCGAGGCAAGATAACCTACTAAATTGTTTCCAAACAATAACAATATTTTAAAAAAAATATTAAAACAATTATTAAAATAGATACAAAAGACCAAAATCCAAAACCCAATTTATTTAACTGCTAAAATGTTAAAAATTAAATAAAATTCGTAGAAGAAATTAATTAATAATCATTTTGTAAGCTTAATTACTTATTTTGAAATGTAAACATATGAAGTCTTTCCTCATTTGGCCTTTAAAAATCTCTTCCTGTTATTACTATAAATTTTATTGGTTATCTTATTGTATAATTAATAGACTTATAAAATGGAATTGAAAGCTTCTCAAAATAAAATTATTAAAAACTCAATTTGAATATTACTTCAAATTCATAATTTTTTTATCCATAAAATATGTAAATATTTATCCTACACAGTCAATACTCAATTTAATCCTTTCTTAAAATTTTCTCCGAGAAGAGATGAAATATATATACACAATATTTTATAGAAAAACAATTAAAAATAAAATTTCAATACTCGAATTTAAAAAATACCTAAGAATTTAGTTGATTTTGGGAAGAAAAAAGAAGTTAGAATACGTGCAATTTGCTTGCATTCGAATTCGAATAATTAATTATTTAAATATTATATAATTATTTGCCAATTTCACATTACATTATTTAAAATTGAACGTAAATTCAATACAAGATATTTCACTCTCTAATTAAAATATAATTTAATTACAATAATAGTATAACAAAATTATTGTTTTTTGGTTAACCAATCTATAATTTTTTATCAGTAATTCGTACATAATTAAATTTATTGATATCTAATTAAAGAATTTTATTATTAATTAATTTAATATCAATTATAATTTAACATTTTTATTCGTGAGATAAATTTTATTGAATTAAGCAAAACTTATTACACTCAAATGTGAAAAAAAAAAAATAGTTTGAATTTGTTAAAAATAAAAATAGTTAATCCAATAAAGTATTACAATTTCACCAAATAAAATTTCTGTTAATTTTAATTTCAGGTGAGAATATATAGATAGTATTATAAATAGAGCATTTTTAACAAATATTAAGGTGAATAATCATAAGATACGAGAGTGTAAATTAAAAGAATGTTTTAGTTGATTATATAGTTAAATAATTCTTTAAAAAAAATGAAAAGAGACTTAACAACAAAATAAATATCCACCCAAACAGATTGCCAATTGGAGAAAGCAATTGCCAATTGGGAACCTTCGTATAGACATGAACCGTTTGCCTTTTCTACTTTTTAAATCAAAATATGGACCAAATTTGATTTAGTAATGCCACCTAGAACAAATAATTTTATTAAATTCTTCTTAAAAAATTATATTAAAACACTTTTTTTTTTCTTTTTTTCTTGCGAATGATGTAAATTTAGTAATGATTATTCCATCTGTAAAAAAATGATTATTTCATACAATAATTAATATAGCAGTATCATTTTTTTAATATCTATCTCTGTACATTAATTATTATTACATTTTAAAATTCTTTCTTTCTCTTGTACAATTTATTGCTGATGTATCGGTTTTTCATTATTTATTATTGGCATCCTCCTGCTTCACTTCACATGTTCACCACCTTAGATTTGTCCAACACGTGTAACCTATATTTCAAGTATCATCAATTGTTTACAATGGTGGTCCTTCACCCCCATTAAAATGATTAAGTCTATGCAAAAGACACAAACACACCTTTCTTCTACTTCATTTTATTGGGCTTAACAATTCATCACAATGAAAAGAAAAAATATTTGTTAAATAAGTTTGAGTCTAGAAACAAAATTTACTTATAAAAATTTGTGGAGATAAGTGCAAATATAGATACTTAAACACTCATTGCAACCAAATATACATGCATATTATTAAATAAATTAAATTTAAAATAAAAACCGATTAAACTGTATGTTTATCAAGGTATCCCTTAGTGATAATTAAGAATTAATTTTTTAAAATATTGAGATCCATTTAAGAAATTATTCTTTGGATACACATAAGTAAAAAATAAGATTATTCATCAATCATATCATATTTTTTCACTGGGATTATTACACAAAGAAAAAGAAGAATGAGCAAAGATTCAAGCGTGGACAATTTTTGCCAAGTAAAAACAAGGACAAAAAGGAGATTTAGAAAGAAAAAAAGTGGTTGTATCACAATTATGTTATGTTTGTAGGTATGAAACCCAAGTCAAAAGCATGAAGGTCGACTTTGCATGCCCACTGAAGAACCCCAAACAGAGCCTATGCCTATCAGCTTGAGACCTATGCTACCATTTTCAAGGTTTTCGAGTCCATTCAAGAATTCGGCTCACCAATTACTCTAGCATAAGTGTCTTACCCCTACAAATAACTTTTGTCATAATTGTTAAATTGAATACAAATTTCTGGAAGTTTGTGATGAAATGTATTGGCAATGTGCTAGAGGAATCTAAAAATACTTGAAAGATATTGTAAACCCTTAATAACACTAGAATTAAAAGATCAGCATAAATTTATCTAGAATATAATAGAGTAATCGAATACAAGGTAAAACATCTACTTCGTATCCTTCAACACCTATAAAGAGGTTGTGGTTGTCCTCATAACAACTGTCACCATAATCAAATACTTGCCATGTACTGCTTTCATCAACACGTAAAAACACAATTTCCCAATGATGGACTTTATTTATCCCAAAATACTAACCCATCAATATTAGATCAAAATATATTATTATATATAACACAATAAAAACGCAATCAATATTAGATCGCCAGAAAATGTGGTCCTCAGTGGGCTCACCTAATGCATAAGGGCCACACTGGGCCCGCTGTATAGGGCTGAAAATTTTTACTCGCTCACTGTTTATGTATTTGCCAACATGTTGATTTTTTTTACCTTTAAATATAAGACTAAAACTATATATGTATATATGTATTAAAGTGACTCTATTTTACCATTCAAATAAGAGACTTTTTTAAGCTAATTCTCTCAGTATATAATTCTAACAAATTATACTTACTCAAATACAAACTAAACTACCATTGGCATTTATCCTAAAAAGGAAAAATCATTAAATACAATTTATGCTCAAAAGCAAGTAAGTTTTTTCAGGTTACTTACTTTTTGGCACGAGCCAGTTGTCGGAATTCGTCGGCAAAGCTCACTGGAAGTGTTTTATCATTATAATACATATATATATATATATATATATAAGGTATTAAAAAAAGCATAAGTTTTTGAAAGACCAGTTACTTGCACTTTTTTTCTTTTGATTTAGGTTTATGATTAAATGTTTCCGTTGAGGACAAAGGGAGATACATAAAGCGACACAAACAGAGAAACTCTTGAAATTTTCATTAACCGACAAGGCCTATGACAAACACTAGTTAACATATGCTAAAAACTATTTGGTAACTGATAAGTAGCAAGTACCAATCTTAGATATTTTAATGGTTGACAAGTTTGAATGTATTTTTACAAACATGTACAATTTTAACACAACGTATGGTCCTTGTTAATTTAAGTACTTATGTGACAAAATAATTATGCAATAATTTTTCCTTTCAAATAAAAGACCAAGACAATAGAAGGTTTTGTAGTCCCAAAAACTGCACCAAATTTGCAACACGACATCATAAGTTATGACTCGATTAGTAAACAGAGTATACATAAACAAACATGCAATATAAAAATTCAAAATCCACTTAAAATATCTAATAATTAAAACCAAACCGATGTTGAGTAATCTCAAAATGTGAGGACAGCTTGTAATCTTTATTTCTCATCAGCAAAAAATACAAAAAAAAAAAAAAAAAAAAA